TAATACAATAATCGGTCATAACTCCCATATAAAGCCTATGTCCGAAAATCACTTTTTTCCAAACATTTTTTAAAATGATCATTTGTTGAATTTCTGTGCTTTTTCTTCCACTTGTCAGATAAACCTAATTAAATAAATATCACATCTTTTTATACGAATAGAGCGATGAAATTCGACACACATAAGTTTCATGCTTGCCGAAATCTTTCTATTAAATTTTATATGGATTGGTTTATAATTGACCCTACCCCCCATATAAGGTCCCCTTCGGAAAATGACTGTAATGCCCATTACTGGCTTAATAATAAGAGTAGAGCGATGAATTTCGACACACATAAGTTTTATGCAAGCCAAATTTTCTCTACCAAAATATATGTTTGGATCGGTCCATAATTGACCCTACCCCCATATAAGGTCCCCTTCAAAAAATTACTATAATGTCCATTACAGGCTTAATAATACGAATAGAGCAATGAAATTCGACACACATAAGTTTCATTCTAGCCAAAATCTCTCTATAATATTTTATATGGATCGGTTCATAATTGACCCTACCCCCCATATAAGGTCCCCTTCGGAAAATGACTGTAATGCCCATTACTGGCTTAATAATAAGAGTAGAGCGATGAATTTCGACACACATAAGTTTCATGCAAGCCAAAATCTATATATGGATTGGTCCATAATTTTATGTGGATCGACCCTTAATTTTCCCAACCCCCCATATAAGATCCCCTTCAGAAAATTACTTTAACGCTCATTACTGACTTAAAAATCCGAGTATAGCGATGAAATTCGACTCAAGTAAGTACCTTATAAGCAAAAACCTTTTAACCAAATTTTATGTAGATCGGTCCATAATTGACCCTACCCGCATATATGGTCCCCTTTAGAAAATTACTTTATGAAATCTGATATAAGATACTTTTATGAAACGAAAATCTTTCTATAAAAAGTTTATGCTTAGAAACAAAATCATTCAGAATTTAATGAGGATTGATTTAAAACTGACCCTTCCTTTTACTTATAACACGCTTATTTGTAAATAATGTAAACAATATTTTTTTAATGTAATCAGTTTATGAAAATATTTCTTTAATAAACAATGTTTAAAATTCATGTTTATTAAACATGAATTATATTTTTTATATTCACAAAATATTAATCCAAATATATATTATATAAGTCTGTTCGTTTGTTTGTTCGTCAATCACGCCTAAACGGCTGGACCGATTTTCTTCAAATTTGGAACATAGTTAGATCTATACTTGGAGAGTGTTAAATGCTATATTTTTTTAGAACTCGGACTAAGAAGGGACAAAATATTATAAACTATCAGACATATGTACATATATTTGGAATCCCACCCTTAGGGGGGAAAATGGGTAAAAAAGAGAAATCTGTATTTGCTGCGTAAAGGGACTCAATAAATGCATATTTTCAGACAATTCAAACTACTTCAATGAATAAATAAAACAAATAAATAAACAAGTAAAAATTTATAGTTGGCCAAGGCCGACCATATGATGCCCTACACCAGTGATTATGTAACAAATGTTTGTTATTTTTTAATCATAAAGCATTTAAATTAATTTTTGCCTTAATTCAGAAATATTTTAACAATTTATATGTTATATGGGGATAGGTGGTTAATATGGGCCTATCCTTATAAATTTTGGTAAAGGTATTTACGTCTACATTAAAGTATTTATGTAGAATATCGCCGTAATATTAGTGTTTATAAGTGAATTTGAACCATCAAGTCCTTTTATGAAGGGGACTTTATATGGGGGATGTGATCAAATGAGGATCGATCATTACAAAAATCAGCAGTGTCATTAAAACTTATATAAAACTAAGTTTTGCCGATTTTTGGTGTGATACAAGAACATTTAACATATTTATGAGCTCAAAAGGCAAAAACGTCTAATTATGTGTTCCTTTGCTATATTTTTTGTACTTTTATGAAATTTGAGAAATATATACACATTTTTTATTAATATTATTCCATAATCGTTAAAAAAATTTTTTTACAAAACAATATAAAAGAGGGAAAGGTTCCTCTCTGATGTGATTTTCTTAATAAATGTTCTACAACTTCGATTTCTGAAATGATACAAAATATATTAAACAAAATACATAAATTTGAATAATTCAATGGAGAAAGAGGGTATGGGTAGTATTTTTGGTACTGTGTTGGTACCTTTTATAAATATTGTTCAAATTCAAAGAAATTTCTTTTATAGCATTATAAGGTCACAAATAAATTGTAAGGAGTTTCTTCATAATAAGACCTTTAGCACTTTATGCTTTAAGTCAAGAAATTTTCTCTAAGTTTAATATATATATTATAGTTTAACTAACTAAATAGCATTAGAATTATAATTTTGAACATTTTTATATTTCTGAATGTTGAAAAATTTCAGAAATTGATCTATGGACATAAAGCAGATTTTTTAGTTTTTCTGAAGGGGGAATACTTAAGTATTATTCCCCCGTCAGAATATATTATGAAACCACTTAAAACCCCGGGCAACTCCGGGTACAAAAATCTAGTTACATATAAGATTTTCTTTATAAGCACATTGTGGCATATACAAAAAATTGGGTTTATAATCACTTTAGCGATATAGTCCTCAATTTGTGTGCAATTAAGGGTTGTGACTATAAGCGAAAAGAACTGTACTTCAAAATCAATTCAATTGAATTGGAAATGTAATTCATTTGAATTAGAAACGAATTGAATTCAATCTACAAATTCATTTGAATTGGAAATGAATTGCAATTCATTTTTTCCAAATTCATTTCAATTGGCTCAAATTTCATTCAATTAGTTTTTTGTGTGAAAATAATTATTTCAATATTTGCTAATTCAGTGCATGAATGATTCGCGAAAAATTTATGATTTATTTACATCTCTGATATTTGAGACATTATAAAATTCGTTATGTCATCTAAAGTAAAATCTGTCCATATCCTAATTTATCCCAAACTAATTATTTTTGTTTCAACATCTCAATTGATTCAAAAGTCTCAGTCATTCAATAATTGCCCGTTTTCTGTAACTTTCGAGTCGAGAAAAAAACATTGAAATATTAAGGTGGAAGCACACAACACGCGTTATAGACTTCTGTCAAAAAATGTTGAAATAGTATATTTTCATTTAACAAGTTACACACTGTAGTTTGTAACGCGTCTGCAGCAAAAAGTTCAGCAACTTTCATCTTTTGACGCGTCGGCAGCGGATCAGGGTTGTATTGTTTTGTGTGGAATAATAATAAACTTTAGTGTCCGACCGAACGTTCGGGTACGGGTTCGGAGTTCGGTAAAAAGTGAGGTTCGGTCAATGTTCGGTGTTCGGCGAAATTTTGACCGAACGCCGAACTTTTTATAAAATGTTTTTTTATCATATTTTTATATCATCAAAAAGTTTTAAAAATGCTGAAAATCTGTTTACAGAAGTTATCATACATCCTGTTTTAACCGTTCGTTTTTTCGGCTGATTTGAAAAACTGTTAACCAAAAACTGATTAAAAAGCTAAGAAAAGTGAAACATTTAATTTGAATTATCTAGTTTCGATTATAAATCTTTGATTTCATTTGTAACATCGAAAGTTTCTAGGTTCCTATTCTCAAACGATCTAGACATGTCTGTCAGTCAGTCAGTCTCTTGAAAGAACGATAGGACCTAAACTATTGTTGCAGTTTGATTGGTATTCAAAATGGACAAAATCGGTTTACATTTGGACATGGCCTCCATATAATGTTCGCTTTAGAAAATTACTAACGTTCATAACAGGCTTAAAAATACTAGTATTTTTATGAAATTATACTTAAATTTTTTTATGAACCAAAATTTCATACAATTGGCGAATTGTGTTAAGTATTGTATATATATTTTTTATTTTTTTAAAAACTAATTTTACTGATTCGATAAAATTCATTTTGATTTCGATACATATTTAAAACGAAATTTTGGTCACATTGGATCATAATATCATGTATAACAATATTATGATAAATACAAAAATATCATGATGAAAAATTTTGACGTTAAATACCGTCATATAATATTTTAAAATTGTTACAATAACGATAATATGTTTAGACTACAATCATAATTTTAATCATAATATGTTGCTCTTAGAACATGGTTACCACAACCACGTTTTTTTCAGCGTGCTCTTACAGATAATTATATCATTGTCAATAAATCGTTTAAAAACCAAAAATAAAAAGTATTATTTTATTTTAAAAAAAGTTCGTGTTCACCGAACTTTGAAAACCGAACAAAGTTCGGGTTCGGCCGAACTTTCAAATTTACCGAAGTTCGGGTTCGGTGTTCGGTACCGAACGAAATTTTGAGTTCGGTCGGACTCTAATAAACTTAAATGAAATAAATTTCACCAACAATTAAAGAAAACTATTAAAAAATAAACAAAAACATAAAATTTAGATTTTTAAAACAGTAATAGTCTTAAAAAACATTAAAAGAAAGATCAAAATGACGCGTGGTGTGTAACTTGCAGCTTGTAAAGCGCGAAAAGTTTGAAAAGCGTAAAACGCGTTGCCGCCTCAACGCGTATTGTGTACACCTTTAGAGTCTTCCACTTTTTAGTTGCGTGATTCAAATAATTTTTAAACTAAACACATTACAATTACCCAAAATATATTTGAATTACGTGTGTTCGCCCTGTTTTAAACAAGACGATTATATATTTTTCGATTTTTTTTTGTCGATTCGAAAGTTACAGAACACAGGCACTGGATGCAATTTGCATCACAAACCTTTTAATTCCTTAACATTTTTAAAAATAATTTTTGTGTCGTTTTTCAAAAAATATTTTTTTCATAATTTTATTTTTTTTTCTAAAATTAATTTATTTATTGAAATATTATATACGTATAATAGTTTAGGTACAAAGGAATTGTGCGTGCACTATTATACGAAAATAATTTCTTTACTTAGTTTATTTTTAAATATAGCAATTGTTTCTTACCTGCCGCAATTATATGAAATATACAAGGAATTCGTTGTTTTCCAATTTTATTTGTTGCCACGCACAATAATGTTCCATAATCCAGTTCTGTAATGGGAGTGTACGTTACTGTTGATGATGTTCCTAAAATATAGTAAATGTGTAGGAATTTAAATATGTATGTATTTAATTATTTACAGCTTAATTCCTAAAAATATTTTATTAGATTTTTAATTGTTTTCTAATTCACGGCAATCGTATTCATAAACCTCTAATAGCTTAAAATACGTTTAATAAACTATTGATAAATTGAATCCTTAACCTAACCTTAATTCGGTTGTAAATTAAACTGAAGGCTTACAAAATAGTAAAAAAGCATTAACATTTTATTAAAAATATTCATTTCCTAAAGATTTGCACTTAAAAGCTAATATTCGGCTGTGCCGAATCTTAAATCCCCTTCACCATATTCAAAATCGAAGAAAAATTAATTTATCTTTTTTATATTGTTTTACACAATTTTTAAATTATTAAGGATTTCATTTAATTTAATTTTTTTAAAATTTTTTTTCTAGAACTTATTTTTTTGTTTAATTTTTTCCCATCCCTTCTCAATTTCTCATCTCTGTCAACCAATATTTTGGTTAATAACAAAACAATTACAACATATGTATGTACATACATATGGGCAATTTCGTGTCCGATTTGGATGAAATTAAAAAAATATATATATTTTTTTTGGAAACATAGTAGAAATAGCTATTTGAACTCCCATGGACAACTTTTGCTAGGACCAATAGATGAAAAGTTAAACTCATTTGAATAAAACCCTGTATGACCAAAATGTTCAACTTTGACCTCTAAGTCCAGCAGTTCTTGACCGATAGAGCTGAAAATGTCTGTCTGAATGTGTCTGGCCTACTATCCAATAGTACTTACCTTGGTGCAAGTTTTATCCAAATCGATTTTTTGAGTTGGGTCACTTGTCACGAAATTGCCCATATGTATATCTTCATAGTGCAATAACATATGTACATATGGTTAAATCTAGAATTTTATACCCTACACCATTATAGTGGGGAGGGTATAATGCGTTTGTGCTGAAGGCCCAAAAATATTGGCCCTACCACCCATCTTTAAGTATATCAGTCGGGTCAAATTCTCTCAAAAATTGCGACCTGTAGAGTGCGCATATGGCTTCATCAGGAAGTGATTCTGAGCCGATTGGTATACTTTAAGGTGTGTGTAGGACCAATATTTTTGGGTGTTGCAAACATCAGCACAAACATAATAATAAATGTGTGTATAATAAATATTTTTTTTGGATTTGCTTTATTACCCTGCAGGAAATTAAGCGATAATTGTCTAAAAGCCACTAGTACTATTACTAGTACAGCACAGAAAAAAATATGCACAATTTTTTTCTTAACAATCGTTTGCTTAAATTTAATTTCGATTTTTATAAATATTTTTATTTGGGTTTATAACGAATTTGTTTGATGTTCACACAGAAGGAAAATATTTTCTAACAAACACTTTATTGAAATAAATTTAACTTTCAGTAAATATTTTTACTGATTCAATAAATGTTTTTGTTTGAGTTTTATTTTTATGTCAGCACATGGAATACAACAATAAAACCAGTTTTGGAATGTACTAAAATGAATTGATATAATTCTTATTTGGTTTATAACATTTAATGTATAAGTGTTTCAGTTTTCACAGTACAAAATAATAGTTTCTAGAATTAGAAACGTTTTCTTAAAAATGTTGTAAGTATATATGTAATTTTTTTACTACTTTTAGTTTTAAATATTTTTTGTAAAATTTTTGTTAAAATTTAGTATATATTTTTTAACAAAATTTTTATAGATTCAATAAAAAATTTTCTTATTATTATTGCCAAAATACAATAAATAATTTAACTGTTTCAGATAACATATTTGCTTGAATTTCAGTACAAATACTAATAACTTGTGTTATTGTTTCAGTAAAATAATTGTTTGGAAATGTTGCGATTATTTATTAATGTTTTTCGTAAATAGTATATTATTTTAATAAGAAAAATCCTGAAATTTTTTCAATAAAGAATTTACGAATTTGAGTACTTGATTTTACGAATTTCGTGATAGGTCCTATTTTAGTAAAAAAAATACTTGTTTGATTTTGAATTCCATTTTTTTCTGTGAGCAGACACTAGTACAGAAGAGGTTGGAGTTTTTATGGAAAAATACTATTACTTGAAGTAGTTAAAGAAGCACCACTTGCAGACCGATTTTTATTTGACATGTGTTGGAAAAAATTAATTATTGGAATTATTAAAATATAATTCTAAAACATTTTGCATAAAATAAAGGAAATTTAATAGGGTGATTATTCGACATTTTCCAAAAACCAGTTTTCGAATAGTTGACATTTGAAAAAACCGGTTGACATTTTTCAAATTCAGAAAAATCCGGTTTTTTATTATAAATAACAAAATCTATTTTAATTTGAAAAAAAATTATGTTTAAATTTGGTTAATAAAACATGTCCCGAACTGATTTTTAACAGTTTACAGGAGTTTAATATTGAGATTTCATTTTGTTGAATTTTGTTCGCTGCTGCTTTACCAACACAAATAACACTATGTCCAAGCAAAAAAAGTGTGGAAAAAGATGTAGTATTTTCATCACAACTAGTAACCCGAAGTACTTCAAATTCGGGTGAAAAACCTATGAATTTTACATTAGCGTGTCATTGGAGGGATGTTTTTAATTTTTGACAACTTTGAACTACATCTAATCTTATTATTAGAAGCAGTAAAAATCCTATATTTGGAAAAATAAACCACATTCTTTCAATGTAAATTTCTTATGTAAATTTCATTAGTCTTTCACCCAAATTTGATGTACTTCGAATATGTTATTTGTAGTGACTTTTCTACATCTCATTCCTCACTTTTAAGTGGGTTTCATTTGTAATGAAATATTTGGTTTATAAAAGTGAAAAATATGTTATCGCATTTTTAGATGTGATTAAGATGACGTTTGTAAAGTATGACATCAATTATTTTATGCTGGGGTTAGTCTATGGTAGTATATGTTTGAGCTCCACTGGTTTAAACGATTATAACTTTAGATCTAGTGGTCTAATTTACATTATTTCTTTAATGTAAAAAAAATGGAACAATTCTGTTAAACTTAAGGGACTATGTAATCGGAGCTTATTCTAAAATCCCTGTTTAGACAATTGTTATCCCTTTCACATACAAAACTAAACCGCTGGACTTTTTATGGATATGACTACACCAAACATTTTATTTTGACGTATATTGATAATTTTTGATGAAAAATGAGAATAGTGTTTTCGAAGAATATCGCAGGATATTATCCTTTTTAGCATGTGACATCAAATTCAAAAAAATAACTTATTTTTCTTAGGAAATAACCATTTACTGTAGCTGTGAACTCAAACTTGCGCTAAAAATCGAGAAAAATGAAAGAGTTATAGGCATTCCAACACGTCCATAATATTTTAGCCGCAAATTAATTATTGTAATAGGAATATAATCTTAAGTTTGAAAAAATTTTATCAACAGAAATTCCAGTAAATTTTACAAATAAAATTTGTTGATTAATTTATAAAAGGTGTTTTAGAAAAATATACTCTAGTTCCTCGACTCCAATATTTTAAAAATTTACACGGGCTGTATTATTATTTACTTCAAAATTTAATTTAAGTAATCTTTGAATACACAGCAAATAAAAGTATTCGAAACAGGTTTTTAAAAAGTAAAAAACCGGGTTATTCGATATTCGAAAAATCATTTAGAAAAAACCGACACTGGTAAAACAAAAGAAAAACAGTTTAAAACCGGTTGAAAAACCGAGTCGATCACCCTAAAATTTACAAACATTTCCTTTCAAATTAGAGGATAAATAGTGAATGACTGTTTAGGTATAGTTGGATACAGAGCCCCATGTAAGTACGTCTTTTAAATTTTAAAATAGCAATGAGTGTCATATGTACATATGTATGTATGTACTTATTTTATCGCAAATGTATTCAAGGCAATACCTGAATGCAATTTGGTGGACATTATATGTATAACCCACGATATCAACGTTGGTGGGGCAGATAGAAACCAGAATTTCTTCAAACTTATATAATATACAAAATTACAAATTTTTTTATTTGAATTGATTTTTTATAAACAAAACAATATAAAAACCAATTTTGTTGTAATTTTTACTTGGAACCTAGCAGGAGGATTACAAAGGAGCAAAATCACCAATTACGGTGACTTTTTGTGAACATTAGAACTAGTAATAAACTGGTCCTAAAGGACCCAATTGGGTCCAAGTGTACTAGTATAAGTCCAGAACTAATGGTACTAGTAATTTTTCAAGCAGACTCAATGTTAATTTGAGCATTAAGATGGTATAGGAAAGTTTACAGTTGGGAACTAGTACTGGTGATTTTGGTACTAGTAAAGTACTAGTTTTTTACTAGTTCCATGTGCAAAAAGGTTTTCAGGGGCACTGAATAAGATTTTGCAAGAAAAAATTTAAAATTCAAAATGACGAATCCAAAATGGCGGTCGACAGTTTTAAAAATTGACTTGGTGGAATATTTAATGAACACACATTGTAAATTTTTTATTTTTGATAACAAATGCGAATTCAGATTTTAAAATTGAAAAATCTAAATACAATATGGCGGATCAAACATAGCCGAAATAGTAGATCAGTGTATCTACGTAATAAATAAACATCACATATAAGGTTTTCGGAGACGCTAATTAAGATTTTGTAAGAAAAAATAAAAAAATAAAAATGGCGGATCCAATCAACATTTTTACAACAACATTCAACATTTTTAAAATTGACTAAATGGTCATGGTCACTGATTACAAAATTCAATGAACTAAGCTGATGATGGCGGATCAAACATAACCAAATAAAGTAAAACACTATTTGGGTAACGTATATCGGGGCATAATATTAAGAAATCTTAATTAGATTTTAAAATATTAAAAATGACGGATCCACTATGGCGGCCTTCAATTTTTGTTTATTAAATTAAGCTATTTTAAGTAAATATGTTTTGTGGGTTAATAGGCGCTAATCGGAAATATAAAGGTGAATTTTAAATACATACTA